TTGCTACTTTGAGTTGTTCCAAATCTGTATTTGACTTATCATTCCATTCAAATATATCCTTCCTTAACAATGCAGTCAAGGGCCTTGCCAACACTCCATACCCTTTAATAAATATTCTATAGTACCCTGTCAATCCCAAGAATCCCCTTAATTCTTTCACTATTTTTGGTGCTGGCCATTCTACCATGACTTTAATCTTCCCTGGTTCAGCTGTTACCCCATCTTTTGTGATGATATGACCTAAGTATTCTACCTCAGATTGACCAAATTGGCATTTACTCATCTTAACAAATAAAGAGTTTTCCTTCAACACATCAAAAGCTTTCTGTAAATGTATCAAGTGGTCTGACCATGAGGAACTGTATACTAGTATATCATCAAAGAATACCAAAATAAACTTTCTTAAGTATGGTTGGAAGACTTTGTTTATTAAACTCTGAAATATGGACGGGGCATTGGTCAGTCCAAATGGCATGACCACAAATTCGTAGTGACCATGATGGGATCTAACTGCAGTCTTTTCTATATCTTTCTCATGCATCCTAATTTGATGGTAACCAGATCTTAGGTCCAATTTTGAAAAATATTTAGCCCCTACCAATTCATCTAGTAGCTCTTCAGTCACAAGTATAGGAAATTTATCTTTTACTGTATGATTATTTAGTTGTCTATAGTCTATGCATAGCCTCCAAGTACCATTTTTTAAACTATGACTATAGGGGAAGAATAGAGACTTACACTTGGTCGAACAACCCCTGCATCTAGCATTTCTTGAATCATTCTTTCAATCTCATCCTTTTGATTTGCTGGATATCTGTAAGGTCTCACATTCACTAGTGGTGTTCCTCCTTCAAAATGATCTTATGGTCATGATCTCTATGAGGAGGTAAGCTCTTAGGGGTTGCAAACAACCCTGAATACTGGTCCAACAATGTCTATAATTCCCCAGGTACTTCTTTCACTTGGTTAGAGCTGAAGCATTCTACTCCTCTATCAACTGGTTGTACATCTGCTACTAGCATCATGCTCAAGCTTCCAATCTTATTCAGTAGCTTCTCCATTTGATGATCTCCAATTACTTTGGATGTGCCTGGTCGACTGCCTCTCAATGAAACCTTTTTGCCTCCTATTTCAAATTCCATCTTCAGTTGTCTAAAATTCCATTTGATATCCCCTAGAGTAATGAGTCATTGAATGCCCAATACCACATCAGCACCTCCTAGTGGCATGACTAACATGTCAGCCTTGAATAACACCCCTTGCATCCTCCATGCTACTCCTTTACTCATGAAAGAGCTGTGCACCTTACTTTCATTGGCTATTGACACTGAGAAGGTAGGAATAGTGTCCAGTTTGCATCCGAGTTTCTTTGCAATGTCAATGTCCATGAAATTATATGTTGAACCAGAATCTATCAACACATGGACTATTTTTCCTCTTATCCCTCCTTTCACTCTGATAGTTCTGTAGTCTACAGTTCCTTCAAGAGCATGAATTGATATTTGAGGACTAAGGTTTGAATCCTCACAAGCTTCCTCTTCCACCACATACTCATCAACCCCCCCTTCATCACCACCTTCCCCTACCTCTATAATGAACAATTGCTTTTTGTTTCTTGCACACATGGCCATGTGTGTATTTTTTATCACACCAAAAGCATAGCCCCTTTGCCTTTTTCTCATCCATTTCTGCACTTGTAAGCCTCCTTGATGACTTCACTGCTGGTCGTCCATACGCATTAGGAGGTTTGCTTAACTCTGTCCCCTTCCCATTACCAGAGTATTGGTCCTGAGAGTAGCTTCTCGAACCTAGGTTCCAAGAAGTGTTAGGAGTTGGGAGTATAGGTTTAGAAGCTCTCATGGTCATATGATTCTGGTTTCTCTGTAGTTACAGAGAATGTTCAGCTAGTTTAGCCAAACTATAGGCCTTCATCAATGTTCTTGGGGCTAACATCCTCACCTAAACTTCAATTTCTGGTTTTAATCCTTTCAAGAAACAACTGATGGAATACTCCTCCGACAACTCTACTTGATTAAGCAGTCCATCAAATTGATCTAAAAATTCTTGAACCCCACCAGTTTTCTTTAATCCCAGTAATTTAGACAGGGAATCCTCATACAAATTATGCCCAAATCTCAAATACAAATATCTCATATAATCTCCCCAATTAGGTAACCCCTTTCCTACTCTAGATTTCATCATCAATTGATGTCACTTAAAGCCCATCCTTCTAAATTGATAGAAGCAAGCCTAACCTTCTGTTCTCCAGAGGTATTGTCATACTCAAAGAATTATTCACACCTATACACCCACCCTTTTAAATCCTCCCCATTAAATTTTGGGAATTTAATACGAGCATATCTATTACCTTCATTAAACCCGTTGCCTATTGTATGTAATCCACCACTATCGACTGGAGCTGGTGCGACTGGTGTTGTTGAGGTCGCCGGAGCTGAATCATATCGTCATGGCGTTCACCCAGTACCCGGACCTGCTCCCTAACTTCGTCTACATCTCGTCGTAATTCAGTGTTTCTGGTTGTTTCCGGCATGGTTTATGGCCAAGGTTCGCTAGCTCTGATACCAATGTTGCGTATTTTAACCATGGAGGTTGAAATTGGAAGTGAATCTAAGAGATTAGGAAGAAGAATAATCTCTGAACAATACACTTCAATGCTTGTAGATAATTGAGACTAAGAAGAAAAGAGAGAAGTTTATTGATTCAACATAACCAACATTTTACAATCTATATGTATTTATAGCTCATCTTCTACCGGTGAGCTTCACTAACAGATTCTAACAGACTAACCACCACTGACCTCCCTAACCGTTTATAACTGCTTTAGTGTGAAATATCCATACTACCCCTTCTAACTATTTAGCATATAACATATAATCATACATTTTACCATCCAAAAGCTCAATATGTTAAGGAAGATGACGTAATATCAATGTCAAAATGAATGAAGAGCTTGCATATATTAGTATTTAAAGATCTAAGATATTTAATTTTGGGATGCCACCTTACGGCGTTTAAATTTGAACGAGTGAAGTTGCATTTATGAATAATGTGATTTGCGCGCTTGACTGATTAATTGGCCACTACATGTTTTTAATAAGATATTGATACAATTTGTTATATATCCTCTATATATAGTCATCGCAATAGTTTGGGGTTGAGACATTATTGAATAACTGGTTGACATAGATTTAGAAATTTGTTTTGGTGTCTATATGTAATTTAGCTTCAGAAGCTGGCTATTTAGATGTTAATCGTTGATACGAGTAATGATGCTATGTAATGTTTTCATCGATCTTATTGTCTTTTTTTATCTTATAGGTTGATTATTAGATTTAGGGGTGTATATAGGTCGGGTTGGTTCTGATTTTGCAATTATCAAACCAAACTAATTGTGTCGAGTTATTAAATCTAAAGACCAAACCAATAAAACTCGGGTTTTTCAATCTCGGTTTTTCTTGGGTTTTTGGGTTATTCGGGGTTTTCGGATTTTTTTCCCGTAAAATTTTCTTAGAATAAAACATATAACTTGTGCTTAAAATATTTCTTTAACCCTAGTAAGATACAACTATATAAGGTATTTTTCAAGAAAATAATATTCCGTACAAAATATGAGATGTGTCATGGCGTTATCCTAAAATATTCAACAACAAAGACAATAAAAGTATGTAATATAAATATTACTAATTAAAAAGCCATAATAAAAATAGACATAATCTAAAAGTACTAAGTCATGCTAAAATAAGTAGACTAATTAGGGAGTATTAATTACATGACTAAACGCTAAAGAAAAAATAAAAATAGGTTATGCATTTTTATCTGAATTATTGTAAAACAAAATATTCAATACATTGCCGTTCGTAGTATTGAATTGAATGTTTTTTGTTAGCATTAATATTGATTTGATTTTGGTTTGGGCTTTTGTTAACATTATTTAAGTTACTAATATTAATGGCTATAAAACTTATTGGAACATTCAAAAGTTCTAAGTCCAACATTGAAATAATACCTTAAAAGATAAAATTATGAAAAAATTTAAGAAATATTTATAAATTACATCACAATAAGTATATTTATATATTTAAATTCTAAAATTCTATATATGTAATGTCGGGTTGGTTTGGTTTCAGTTTGATTTTCTTTAGTTAAAACCAAACCAAACCAATTATGGTCGGATTTTTTTTTCCAACACCAAACCATAGTTAGATTTTTTTTCTCAGTTTGACTCGAATTATCGGGTTGGTAAAATTTATTGGTTTACTTTGTACACCCCTAATTAGATTGTTGTAAAATATGGATTCCCAGCCAACTTTCTTCCCTCCTCCTCCTCCTTTCGCTAGCCTTCTCAGTGCCAAACTAATGAAATCTAATTCAAAATTCAGTCAACTCGCTAAAAAGAGCAAGTAACACATTACTCTTTTGTCCCCAATATAAAACTAAAAAAAAAAAAAAAAAAAAAAAAACTAAATCCCATTATCCCAGAGGGTCCTGAAAACTTAAGATTAAATCCCATTATCCAGGAGGGTCCCGAAACCTTAAAACTAAATCTCATTATTTATGAGGGTCATGAGAACTTAAAACTAAATCCCATTATCCA